CGCCCCTACTCGCGCTCACGCGCCCGGCTTAAGGAGGTCTGCGCGCTTAAGGTGGAACGGCGCTAAGCGAACGCGGGAGCCCGCGCGGCGGGGATGCGCCCAAGTCGAGCCCCCGCGCGGCGCCCGGCTTCACTCCGCGCTCCTCCTTGGGGAGCCCGGCTCCCAGGCCCCGCGCGCCCGGCTCCTTCCGGGTCCTCTGCACGCTGTAGCTCGGCTCGGGGGCGGGCGGCGCTTCTCCGCGGGCACAGGGAGAAAGATGCATTTCCTGATTTAGAAAAAAAAAAAAAAAAAGGGAACCTGAGGACTCAGGCTGGCATTACAATCTCCTCACTTCTGAGATTTTTGCTGATCTTGACCCGAGGCCAGAAGTAGGTTGTAATTGCCCCCGAATTCCCCCTAGTCCGCTGCTCGCTTCTGCCTAGGGGCTCTACCCGACCACTAAAGCGCCTAGAGGGGCTAGGCTCTAACTTGGGTTTGCCACCTGTCATTTCTATTTAGGGATGGGTTTTCATTGTGTGCCAGACACTTGTTTCAGGCTCTGAAGATACAGCAACGAGCAAGCCAAAATCCTTGCCCACCTGAGTTTACAGCCTAGAACCTGAAAAAAAAAAAAATGGCAATAAGCAAATAAATACATACAGAACAGTTATTGAATCTTTCTGGCGACCCAAAAGTATTTTGCCTCCGTAAGAACCTAGGCACAAATCCTAGACCTTTCGGATCTCTGCCGTTAATCCGAGTTCCTGTCTGTAAATGACAGTAAGAATGATTGTTTTGTTTTGAAACAAGATCTTAGGTAGCCCAATATAGCTTTGAACTCTCAAAGTCTGAGGCTGAACTTGAACTCCTGATCCTCCTCCCTTCACCTCCCAGGTGCAGGGTTTACAGTCATGCACCACCATGCTAGATTGGTTGTATTTTTTTAGTTATAGTTTTAGTTTTTAATTTGATGGCAGACAGAATAATAACACAGCACCACCTGGCTAAGTATGTGGGAACAATTGGCTTCCACGTTGCACATGACAGGACAACTCTCCGTGAATCCGCTTTGCCTACGTAGTAATAGTTGTTGCTGCCTGCTCTTTCAGAGCCATACCCTTCACCCCAAATTGTGGTGACTGGCCAGCTGAGGCAGCTGCATGTGGAAATGAACAGAGGTGTGGCTGCTGTTCTAGCCTTGAGATCACTGCTTCCTGGACAGCCCAGCTTGGATGTCATTCGGCAGCTATGAATTGAGTGTGTGAAGATGACCACAGCCATCCACCCACAGCTGTCCACCCTGGAAAGGGCAGGGCACAGATGACACACATCCTTATCTTAGTTGCAGAGCTACACTAAGCAGCCGGGACCGGGTTGACCCCTGGGTCTCCCAGCTAGGCTTCCCCAGACCCTGGAGACACAGAAAGCCCTTCACTGTCTCCCTGGACAAACTCCCGGGTTTATTTTTACTTTGGTACACAGTCTGCCAATAAAAGCAACAATCGATACCAGCAGCGAAAAGCCTAAACAGAAGGGAACACTCATGCCGTGTTGTGGGGGAGGCTTGGTAGCAGAGGCTGACCTGGGTGCTCTGGCGTCAAGGGTGGGGTTTCTGTAAACAACCCCCTGGAGGAAGTGCCTTGTGCCTCGCCTCACACACACAGTGTGTCCAGAAGGCTAGGTTTTTAGTGAACAGTAGCCTCAGGTTGGGCACTGGCCAAAACTTCCTGTCCCCTCCTTGTCTCCCCCAACACGGAAGAGCCACCTGCATTGTCTGAAAGCAACCCCGGGTCCCTAAAAATCTCCCAGGTTTTTTCATCATCCCAGTTGTCCATGCCCCCCTCCCCCCCCACCCCTTCTGTCCTTGCGAACTTTCGAATTCTGTTATCAACCAATCGACTATTTTTATTTTGCCTTTTTGGGGCTGTAGGTAGACATTCAGTGTAAGTAACAGAAGCCAAGAGAGGGAAAGAAAAGGCAGCACTGGGGTTAAAAGTAGACGTAAAGAAGCAGGAAGGAAAAAAAAGCAAGATAGGAACAATGGTGAGGGTCTGCTAAGAAACACACTGTTAAAGTCAGGTTAATTCACAATTGGATTCCCATCGTGATTAGGGGAACACGAGTAGATACCACGAAGTAAAGAAATGAAATTTGGAGTAGTGGTGGCACACGCCTTTAATCCCAGCACTTGGGAGGCAAGGACAGGCGGATCTCCAAGTTGGATGCTAGCCTGGGCTACAGAGCGAGTTCCAGAACATCCATGGCTACACAAAGAAACCTTGTCTCAAAATACCAATAATAATAATGATAATAATAATAATAATATCCGAGCCTCCCAAGTGCTGGGATTAAAGGTCAAACACATAAATTAAACAAATCTAAAAAGAAATGAAATTCCTCTTTGATCTAGCAGAGCAAACAGGACTTGCTCTATAAAAAATGAATGAGTGACGGGACCTGGGGAGACGACTCAGTTATTAAAGTGCTTGCCACCTTAAGCATGAGGACCTGAGTTTGCTCTTCAGCACTCATGTAAAAAAAAGGTGTGTGTAACAGCCAGTCTGGCACATCAGTGAGCTCCAGAGTAAGTGAGAGACCCTGTCTCAACAAAATAAGGTGGACGGTAGTACCTGACCTTGACCTCTCAACTCCATGTACACAACACACACACACACGCACACACACACACACACACACACATTAAATAAATAAATAAACAAACAAATAAATAAATGGTGATATAGGAGGTGTCAGAGGAGGTCAGGCTTGTGATTCAGTGTTGGTGGCTGTCAGCTTGCACCTCTAGGTAGGGCATCTGCCATACTTTCTCACAGAGTAACATAGAAAAGAATCTATGGCATATAGCATCAGGAAAACAGAGATTTCTCAAAAGAAGAATCTCAAATGGCTGAAAGACATTTAAAGAAATGCTCAACATCCTTAGTCATCAGAAAAATGCAAATCAACACGACTCTGAGATACCACCTTACACCTGTCAGAATGGCAATGATCAAAAACACTAATGACAGTCTATGTTGGAGAGGATGCGGAGCAAAGGGAACACTCCACTGTTGATGGGAGTGCAAACTTGTGCAACCACTGTGGAAATCAGTATGGCAGTTTCTCAGAAAATTGGGAATCGATCTACCTCAACACCCAGCCATATCACTCTTGGGCATATACCCAAGGAATGCTCAATCATACCACAAAGATACATGCTCAACTATGTTCATAGCAGCATTGTTTGTAATAGCCAGCACCTGGAAACAACGCAGATGCCCGTCAACTGAAGAATGGATTAAGAAAATGTGGTACATATACACAATGGAATACTACTCAGCAGAGAAAAACAATGACAGCATGAAATTTGCAGGCAAATGGATGGAACTAGAAAATATCCTGAGTGAGGTAACCCAAACCCAGAAGGACAAACATGGTATGTACTCACTCATAAGTGGATACTAGATATAAAATAAAGAACAATCAGACTACAACCCACAGAACCAGGGAGGCTATATAGGATAGCTATATAGGATAGACCCTAGGATAACTGTGGCTTATAATAAGTTTTGGTTTTACTCAATCACTGGGAAAGCCTCAGTGAAACATTTCGCTATTAGGATAAGAATTTGTACTGTATCTAGCTGATAATAGAAAAATAAATAAATAAATAAATAAATAAATAAATAAATAAATAAATAAATAAAAATGAAAACAACAACAACAACAAAGCATATAGTATCAGGAATGGAAGGGTGGCTCACAGCAACTAGGCTGTGAGAATAGAGAAACTTCTCTCTTTGGGGACAGAGAAAGGCACCTGTCTCTCTGCCTCAGGGTGGCAAATCCTTACTCATCTGAGTTGTCTCTCTTTACAAGTAAGGAGTTTGAGTGAAGGTCCTTCTTAGGCGATGAGCATTTCAAATCACTCCATTCATGGGCTCTTTGGACCTGAATGGTCTTTTCTGAGGGTAGAGCCTATGGCAGGATGTCTACCTCTCCCGTAGGTGCAACCACTTCTTCGTAGTCCTAGGCAATGAAGCTACCTTAAGGGGTATCACTCCTTTTCTTGTCCCTGACATCACACTAATGCTGGGCCTTGAAGGATGAAGGACTCTCAATTAATGAATCAGGATCTAACCTTTCCAATCTGGATTCTTAGTCTCTTCACCTTCCAGGTTCCCAAGATGGAGGAAATATGGGGGAAAAAAACCCAAAAAACAAAACAACAACAACAACAACAACAACAACAACAACAACAACAACAAAACGACAAAAACAAAAAGAACACTGCTTTCCTGCTAATGATGCCCAGCGTCTACAGCCTGCCCTAAACCCACATTGGAAGTCAGTTGGGGGTGTGTCATGGACCCTGGAGTGGAAAGCCTGTTTGGGAACAGTAGGGCATTTATCAGGGGATGGTGCAAGCCATCATCAGTATGTATAACAGCCTGTGCCCAAGTCCCCCCATAAGCCTACATGTGTCCTTGTTATTTGTAGGACATGTCCAAGCCATTGCATTGTCTGGGGGGGGGGAGGGCAGGGACCTTTCTCTCTGTACAATGGGACAAAATGAGCTGAAAATTAGTGCAAATCCCAACTCAAATCATCCCCAGCAAGGGAGGGCGTGGGGACCTGGGTATAGAGAGTATCATGATTTCTGACTTCACTGAGTCGGAGAATAAAGTGAAAACATCAGGTTAGAGGGTCAGAACAAGGAAAGGATGTGCCTCAGGCAGGAATGCCAAGCCACAAAGCAGAGGGAGAGTTGGTATTAACTAGGAAGTAACTAGGAAGTAGGTTTCAAAGGTCCCTTGGGCACCTGCCATGGTATTCTCCTTGGGGGCAGAACCACAGGAGGCTGGATGTCCCGGTGTTGGGGGTCAGAGTTCTTTAGGCACACTGGGATGAGGCCTGGAGTTCTGGAACATTCTTGAGTGCTGTATGATGGCACATGGTAAGGTCTTCACAGGTTATGGCAAGAATTCAATAGATGTGCTTATACCGTGGTCATGATATAAATGATGTAGCCAGGATTTTTACAGAGGACACACCCCTGTCCCTTGCTTTGAAAAAAAAAAAACCCATACATACAGTCAATGCGTTTTGATCATATCTACTCCCCTTTTCAACACCCCCTGGGCCTCCAACCCACAGTATGTCTCCCTCCAACCTCATGCCCCACCCCTTTCTAATAAGCCACTGAGTCAGATTGGTGCTACCCATGTGTGCTTGGGTGTGGGGCTATAACCCGGGACATGGGCAGCCTACCAGTGGCCACAC